GAGGGCACCCTAGGCCCACCCTGCCTAGGTGTCAGACCTACTGGCTATTCCACTTAGAGGCTGGAACTGCCCCTCCGTTCCCCAGAGAAGCCTCCCACCATCACCCCCCAGGGAATTCAGAAGGCAAGAAGAACCCCAGGAGATCTTGCTGTCATCTTCATGTCTTGACCTGAAAAAGCTCTTAAAGCTGCCATCAGTGTCCTGGCTTGGGGCAAAAGTCCTGGAAAATCGAGACTAGATGCAGGAAGTGTGCTTAGGTCTCGCTCTGGGGAGTTTTCCAAATTACTTCCCAAGAAGTTGAGAATGGGTTTGTAGGAAGCGCGCGCGCGCGCGCACACACACACACACACACACACACACACACACACACACACACACACACACACACACACAGAGCAGCCGGGCCAGAGCCCCGCTGGTGCTCTAGGGTTATCAGGCGCTCGGCCTGCGCGGCGGTCTGGGGCCGAACCCTGACAGCCAGATCTACCATCAATTTACCTTCCGCCGCCCCAGCTTCCCATTTAGCTTTTAACGTCAAATCCTGCATTTTTGTCGGCTCCGGCCTGTCTAGAGAGCTTGTGATTTCGCTGCAGGAGTGATTGCTTTTAACAAAATGGCAGCAACCACATTATCCGAGCAATTAAAACAGAGACCTTTTAGCCATCCAGCAAGGCAGGGGCTTGGAAACCACTTTCTTTTTTTTTTTTTAAGGAAAAAGAAGGGGAGTTAAAAGAGGTAGAAATGTGTAGAGGAGAAAAGCATGGAAGCGCTCAAGAAACGTCTGCCCAGCACACCGCTGGCTTTCCTGGGGCTTGACAGCGTGGGCCAGAGGTGCTGGGAGGCCGGAGGGACGGATAATCTGGGTGTCTTGCCTGTGGCAGTGTCCGGCCAGTTAGGGTGTGCGTCCGCTTAGGGGGTTTAGGCCCCCGGGTTGTCGGTTCTGTTGGATGTCTGGCTTTGGGGTTCCTGGCGGGCAGCAATGTCGATGTGCTCGAGGTGTGGGTTCTGGTGCTGCTGGGCCCGAGGAGGCGGCGCGGCGGGCAGGAGCGAGGCGCGGGCAGCGCCGGCCCGGGCCAGACAAAGGGGACCGGCTTCTGGGGAGCGGGCTTACAAGCCTGTGTCGTGGCGAGCTGCCCGCAGCGACGGTGCTGCCGGGGTCTTCTGGCTCCCCTCTGCTGGTGTTTAATAAACCAGAAAAAGTGTTAAACCAGCAGAAACGCGTTAAGACCCAGATGGCGAGCTAGACCAGCTACCCAAGGCGAGCGCAGGCACACGTGCTGGGCGCAGGATCGCTCCTCTCCGGCTCCTGTTTTGCAAACCTCCCCGCCTCCCCACCATTTACTCCACCACTTCGGTAGACGTTTTCCATTGACCCCTAGGATCTGGTTGGTGTCTTTCTCTTGAACGGATTAAAGACACGAAAGGCGGCAGGAAGCAGCAGAGGGAGGGAGCCACTCGGTCAAACGCACGGGGATCCCGAGAGTAATAGAAACTCAGGGCGCGTCTCCTCCGCCCCCCCCCCCCC